GGATTTTGGTAGAGCTTATATCTTTAAATTGAGACCCTAAATTTCACAATGATCTGATTTCATTATGATCTGCAACAATAATTGAGTCTAATACGCATTTATTCTGTAATTGAGTATATACTGTAATTGAGTCTATACGCATATATTCTGTAATTGAGCCTGAATGCAGAATAAACTTTTTTTTTCATATCATAAAATCATGAAAAATACTAGGTTTAAAACAATGGAAACCATCCTGGTCACCATTATGTTGAAGTATCTGATTAACTGTTTTTCTTATTCGACATTAATTTTATTAGATACCGATATGTTGTTTAATCATTAATGTGTGACGTGAAGAAAATTGCTAACCTTGGCAAATATTTCGGACCTGCCCTCTTTAAGTAATAGGCTCTAGACCCTTTTTTTGAACTTACAAAGATTTTAAGTTCGAGCATATTTCAAATTACAGAACATAAGCATATTCTAATACGTATTATGTGTAAAGTTTATCAGCTGTAAAAGTACGTACGTACCTGGCATTGGGATGTCCCTTTTCATATTTGAGTGCGGTCAAATTAAAACCTGTAATTTTTAAGTTTTTAACGTTTTCCGTATTGGACTTAACAATAAATTATCATAAATCCCATGATTATCATCACGCCCTAATATAATTTATTTCAATTCCAAACTGGCAGTGTACTACGAAACTGTTTCTTAAAACCCTCGTTAGTTATATGAATCAATAAAAACGGTTTATGACGAATTATTCAACCGATTTTATTCAATAACGGTTTAGGTTCTAAACTGAGTCGGTCTAATTCAGGCAGAACTACTTTTAATTACCTTGCTAATCATAATTTTGTCATTTATTATCCTAGTAACGGTTACATACTACTGTATACTGTATGGATAATACGTAATAATCCTTACATGTTCAATGCATCTTTCTTCCTTTTCTTTTTAAGGTTGAAGCATTATATTCCAAAGTAATCTAGAAGTATAAACCACTCTATACTGGCGTGATTTATATATTACACCATTACAGATTATGGTTCATATTCTATAATACTACTCTGGATTAATAATTTTTGCTAATTGTTATATATTAAAAATAAAAATAATTAAATCATCTGTAGCATTAGAGTTATACTATAATTTAGACTGTAATGTTATATTTTAAAATATGCTATAAAATTTAATTCAGAATAACATATACTGAAGTAATTATTGAGTATAACCTTAAGTAGTAATTCCTGGTGTAGCATGATTTTTGATACTTACTCTGACAAAGCGTGCTACGTATACACCACTTTGGATTACTCCATTAACAATCCTATAAAAAGAAATTCAGGAAGTATTGTCAACGCGCGCCAACCGGAGATTATCCTTAATGTAAATCAATAATTTATAGTATCCCCAAATTGTAAATTTATAATGAATTTATTTAAATAATAACTCTGCATTACTGATAATGAAATTTATTCTCACCTGTTATGACAATTCATAAATGTTCAAAAAAAACTTACGTAGAAACTATGAGCCCCTATATTACGGTTAGTGTGCAGACCTCAAATCTTATTTTGAAATTTTAATTTGTATAATAATAGATGCAAGTCATATTGGCCAAGTACTTATTAAGACCAATGTAAGGATAATATTTCAGCCGAATTCTCCTCATTTTAGATACGTACGTACGTACGTACGTACTTTGTAATAAATAATAAATTTGAGAGTTACCCAAGACATCCCTTTAGGCTTGATTGTTTGACTTAGAATTATAAATCGATATTTGGTTAGGTTATAGTTTCACCAGACCCATCGTATCGAATAATAAATCTTTATAAGAAATTTCTTTGTTATTTGTTGATCCGGAAGATAAGTTTTATACCTTTAAATGGTAGAGATATAAAGAAGGTAGTACAGCCTATATCGGAAAAAAGTTGATCGGATGGAATAAATTGCTTTGATTTCAAAAAACCGGTTATGAAAAATGCCTCATATGTACGATAAGTATAATCGATATTATATTTTATATTATATTTATCATATAAATTTCTTTATAATAATTCTATATTAGGTGTTAGTGTTAAATATGATGATCGTATATTTGCTTTTGATCATGATTTCGACTAAATGCTGAATTACACAAAGGGAAATGTAAAACCTTATGGTCTGGAAATCACGTGCCCAGAGTTCACGTTTCTTATCTGGAAATATCGAAAGGTGATTTTCAAGGCAAAGATCCCAAATGGTTTTGATTTATTAACAATATTTCTTTTTAGTGTAAAACATCCAAACGTATACGCGACGCGACAATTACTAAGAATTCTATTGAACGGTTGAATTCGTAGTAGATTATGATACATTGAAATTTGAATTTGGCATCTACGTATGAGACTATGAAATGATACTATCATAAATATGACCAAGATTTACTAAAATTTACTAAAAATTATTTCGTTCATGATCGTCACAATTAATATAGCGAGGATAATCAATTTAAGAACTATTTTGTCTTAGCATTTAACAGTCATTCGTAAATATATAAACAAAATTGAAACATGTATTATCTTTATTCTTAAAAAATAATTTAATATATGCAAATTACGAACAAACATGTAATTAACAAACATCCTTGAAGTATCCTTGAAATATCCTTGAATTTTAATAAGAAATTATTGTTGGAAAGAAAAAAAAAACAAAAGAATAAATACTACGACAAGTTAACTGATTTATCTGATAAAAATATTAGAAACAGCTATTTATAAGAAAAAAAAAAAACAAGTCTAAATATACATAAGCGGGAAAAAAATCACATGTGTGTATGGGTTTGTAATTTTTAATATATAAAACAAAAATTGTCCGTTTTCTTTTGAATATATAGACATTTCAATTAGAAATGTCTAAATAAATTATTATGATTTAAGTTTTTTTTGTTGATTAATAGCGACTTCATTTCCAGGATCGAGTGTTACCGCCTTATCAATGTCCAATAATGCTTTCTCCTTTTTTCCTAAAGCATCATAAACTATACTTCGTTCACATAACGCAACTACGTTACTGGGATCTCTTAATAAAACCTTATTCAAGTCAGCCAATGCTTCATTATACTTTCCTAATGTATTATAAACCGCTCCTCGATTGCATAGCGCTTTAGTTTCATGATCAATATTAAAAGCTCGGTCTCTTATATTTTCTAATGCTCGATCTAAATCCAATATTGCCTTTGTATTTGATTTCAAAGCTCGATAAACAGCTCCTCTTAACGATAATGGATAACCCCAATCAGGTAAAGATTCTAATACTTTATTTAAATCTTGTAATGCTTTATCGGACTTTGATCGAATTTTACAAAAAGAACCTAGACATTTTACCGCTCATAAGAATAAAGCAGAAATTCTTACAAAAATGGAAAAATATGAAGAAGCACTTACTCATATGAGTATTGCTTTACAAATTGAACCATTTGATTTTCAATTATTAAAAGCTCAAGGCGAAGCTTATCAATCTCTTGGTTATTATGATGACGCTATAAAAGATTATACATCTGCTTTAAGAATTGATCCTAATGATGTAGAAGTACTTCGAAAAAGAGGGGAAATTTATCGTTTACTTCAAGATTTTGAAAAAGCTTTAAATGATTTTTCAAGAGCTATAGAAATCGATCCTAATTGTGTATATGCTTTAGCACGACGTGGAGAAGTTTATCGAATGGCAAAACAAAGTCATAAAGCATTAAAAGATTTAGATGAAGCTATTAAAATTGATCCTGATAATGTAATGGCTCGTGAAAGTCG